AACTGTGATTTAACCTAGATAGTCCTGAGACTTTTTTTTAATAGGTATGTATTTTCATCATTTTCAAACTTCATTCACGCTACTCAGATGAGAATAACTATAGGACAAAAATGCATTGAATAGTTATTCGTTTAACTAGACAGCAAAGCAGTCTATCCACATTTGCTGCTGTGTGAAATATATAATTTTCACTCCAAATGTTATAGAACCCAGTTTTTCTGTCGACCTCAACAAAAAATCACTTCAACATCCTGATTTCCGAACGAAAAACCGACTCTTTCCGAAGGCAAGTACTTTTCGTCCGCAGAAACTAACTTTTCGGGTTGCTGAATTTTCAGTAGATCGCCAGATTCGCATATTGATTTACTGATCTACTGAAACAATTCATTATTCACTGAAAACTATTTTGACACTTATTCATTATTTCATTTACCTATTATTAAGTATCTTCAATTAATCACATACACTTATAAATTGCATGATATTTCGACACACTCTGTTTAAATAATTTTAGGAAATAAGTAATAAATGAACAGATAGGTACTAATATTATGCATAAAGCGAAAGAGGACAATACTTTATCTGATTCAGATCGAATTTATTTTTTTATATACCTCAGTTATAACAGTTTGTTTCTCAAGTATAGTTTTTTTATTTTTTTTATTTTTGTTGTTCATTTTCACTATTCGTTTCTGTTCCTTATATAATCTAATCTCTTAGTACCTATATGTAGCTGTATTTTGTGATATACGTGAGTATATTTGAACTGACAATTTGGAATATGATTATTTTAAATTACTAGAAGTACATAATGTTTTCACGTCTTGGAATTCGTATAGCATAAAATAGAGTTTGAACAGATGTTTTGAGATCTACCGAATTTTTCACAAGGTATTTACTAATGGGATAGAAATCGAACTGGCAACCCTGGTCCGCGCGGAGATTGAGTTGACAACAACTGTCATTTGCTGTTGTCAAATGGATTATTCACGAAATCCGATAGATTTCACGTATGAATAGGACCGTGATGTGAATATATAAGTGTTTGAGGTCGACAAAGAAATATAATATGCACCTCGGCGAAACACTGTCTATTGTCTTGCCTGATTGTTAGCTTCGGATAGGGGAGAACCGCTATGAAGTGGACACTTCAAGAAAAACAACGGAATCAAAATTTTATAGACCATTTAGGCCCGTATTTATAGTCGTTTCCTCAAGAACTCCTCAAGTCTATCTTATCTAGGGATTCCTTGAGAACTCCTGAGTACTTGACGTTGAACTTGTTTTATAGACCTCCCTTGAGTATTCCTTCTAAAAGGAGCCCATGCACTTGGCAACAGTGTATAATTTTAGTGTTCTATGACCAAATTTGTTGTTTCATGTCACGTGTTTGTCACAAAATGTAAAATGTCGAATTTGACAATGTTCACTGTTGAGTGTGGACATCGAAAGATTTTAATTATCCAGTAATAATCTTCAAAGGTTGGTTCAAATTGGGCCTAACAATATATTATTTCGATTTCGATCACAGACAAAATATATTCAAGGTATCGCAAAATGAAGAAAGGATCGAAGAGTTTATCGATGACGATGTTGGAAAATAACAATACAAAAATTACTCTACTAGAAAAAAAGGAATTCTTTCAAGCTGCAATGGAATGATCCATTTGATTGAATACTTCGAATGAATCTGTGATTTTGTGGAGTTGTTCATTAAAAAAGTATGTATTTCCAATTCCATCAACGAATCATTAAGATGATACCTATATAGGTATAATTGTGAATATGCTGAGTTTCCATTATTTGTAATATATTCCTATTATTTGAGATAAAAAAGATTCACTTTTCAACTATACTTGGATTTGTATCTACTGGAAATCGAAATACTCCAATCAGATTCTCTGTACACATTTCAAGACTTGAATATTCATTTGATTTCTACATTCAATTTCATCATTCCATTCATGGAATTCATAACTTAACCTGAAATGATACTAGAAATTGGATCAAGGAATGTTCGAGGTACCTTTCTACCTTCCTTGGAATTGACATTTCCTTGAGGCTTCCTTCGAGCTCATATTACGACTATAAATTGGAAACTGGTCCTTAAGGCTGCCTTAAGGGACGAGGTCACCTAAAGGAACGACCATAAATACGGGCCTAAATTATTCAAAACTGCATGAGCGGAAAGTTCCATCAATATGTTTGTAAAATGAACTGAAAAAAAAATTCAGACAACTTCATGGTCTGAGTAATATTCAAATTCGAAAAAAGTTGCTTTCGTCCATTCCAAAACATCGATGTATTGAAACGGACAGTGAAGGTTTTGAAGAGGACAGTTGTGGTTTTGAAAATTATATTCGCAATAAAGAACATTAATTGCTTCAAAAATAACTTTTATTTGAACAGGAACTATCTTAGGAACAGTTATTACAATAAAAATGTCGAATACCCTGAAGGCTACAAGTTTCATGTGCCCATGTTCAATCGCAGTATTGTCGTCTTTGGTTCGAGTATTAGGGTTTTTGTTCTCCTTTGGTATGAATTGGTGTTGTTTATTGTTGGGTTTAGATTTTGAAAGTCGGAAATGTTGACTCAGCGGAACTTCATCATCAGAATCAGACGTCCGCTTCAACACAGCGTCTGATGTCCACTTCAAAACAACACACGATTTACCTCAAAATGACATCACGAAAATCAAATTGAGAAATATTCCACGAGATCTACCTCTACATTTATGTACTAGAGTAACTTAGTTTTGATCTCATCAATCTGAAATTGCCTTAATTTCAACAGCTTACCTGTGACATATTTCACTATTTTCACAAATAATTTACTTTTTCACCTGATAATAATAACATGCATGCTGTCGACTCATAATCAACTGCGTCGGCGCGCAATTTCGGTCGTAGTGGGATCTGGGTACAGGGTTGCCATATGTGAACGTGAAATATGCGGTCATACAAACACATAGCAACTACGACAACTGTCCGTTTCAAGACCCGTCCATTTCATAGCGGTTTCCCCCTAAGTCCACTGCTTTCAATATGCAGACTCTCGACAATGACAGACAGTGTTTCGTCTTTGGAATATGAATAACTATCGCGTACTTTTTTCATTGAAAGCTCAATCACTTGGAACGTTCCATAAAAACCATCTTTTCCTGCCTAGGCAAAGGGAGTACACCTTTCCTGCCTTTCTATGCCACTTGAAGAAAAAATAGTTATTTCTTTCACTAGGCAAAAAGTACAAGATTTAATGCCGCGGCTGGCGTTTCATAGCCTAGGCGTAGACGAGGCATTACATCTCCTTATCTGCCATGTCTGTTCTGCTAGAATGAAGCACATATTAATTTACCAGTTCAAACGATGTGTTTTCGGCTATAATTGTTATTGATGTATTAAGGGAATTATGAGGGACAGCAATTGCCAGAGGTTATTAAGGCTCTATAATTTCCGTGGTACAAAGATAATTTTATTTCTGACCGATTTTCATAACAATATGTCCATATTTAGAACGCAATAAATGTTTAAATTAATAACCTTTCTGGTATATTTGAATTAGGTAGCGTTGATTGTGGCATTGTTGGTTGTTGCTAGGTTGTCGCTATGTTACATGTTAATAAGCAAACTTTCTATATCAATCAATGTTTTTCCGTTAAAAACGTGTTTATTTTTTACCACAAATCGACGATCTTTTTCTGATATAATGGAGGATATTATAAAAAAAGCGGAAAAAGCAAGACAATCATTACTTCCATCGAAACGTGAAGCCCTATATCAAAAAGAATACAACTTATATCTGAAGTGGCTGACACAGAGAAATGTTATGTCAAAAGATGCCAACGAAACTGTCTATCTAAAGTATTTTCAGTATTTTCTGGTAGATTTGGTAATAATTGTATTTATTCGTTGCAGTCAGAAACGTTTAGCCCAAATTCGTTATGGACTGAATGGTCAATGCTCAAATCGATGGTAACCATATATGAGAAAAGAGATATCACCAAGTTCAACGAACTAGAGGCTTTTTTGAAACGGAAAAGTGAGGGGTATAAGCCGAAACAGTCTGCTGTCTTATCTCCTAAAGATGTCATCAAATTTCTGTGAAGGACGCCCCTAATGAAATTCATTTATTGCATAAGGTAATTTTTTTCTCATAATTTTCTTTTTCGTTTGTTTATTTCGTTTTATTGGGTTATTTTGGAGGATGTAGAACTCAGGAACTTCTAAATATGAGTATAGCAGATATAGAGGACCGGGATACTGTTATGGTAGTGAACGTACCGGAAAGTAAAACTGGTGTATCGAAGAAATTTACAGTTGTGGATGAAAAAGAGTTTTCTGCTTTGCCTTTATTGAGACTTCATATGTCCTTGCGTCCTGAAGGTACAAAACGATTTTTTTTGAGCTTCCGACAAAAGAAATGTACAACTCAGCCAATTGGAAAGAATATGTTTGGCAAAATTCCCAGCAAAATCGCGATGTATTTAGGATTGCCAAACCCACTAACCTATACGGGACATTGCCTTCGTCGCACTTCTGCTACTGCCCTAGCCAATGCAGGAGCAACTATGACATACTTAAAAAGACACGGAGGTTGGATAAGTTCCACGGTGGCAGAGGGGTATCTGGAGGACAGTATTGAATTGAGGAATAAAACGGCGCGTATGCTGTCTACTTTGCCATCAGAAGAGGCAGGCACCTCGACTGTAGTGAACAGCAACAGCACCACCTATAAAAAAGAAGAAATTGTTTCCAGCGGCAGAAGTTATTTTCAGGGAACATTTGAAAATTGTACATTTATTATTTGTAATGACGTGAATAAGGAAAATATGTCCTAGTTTTCATTACATATAAACGTTTATAAGCATTTCTTGTATCATTTTCACCTGTAAAAGGTGAAAGGGAGTTTTTGAACCTTACTATATTCCAAGGGAGTTATGACCCTCATTATAGATATCGTAATTATGACGATATAAGCTTATGATGTCACTGTCAGAAATAAAAGACTTTATTAAATCCAAAAAACAATGGTAGGTACATTCACTTCGATGCAATGCTCTTTCCCAACGTATCTCCTCAATGAACTCTGTGCACAAGAAAACGGTGGGTACTGAGGGTACTCTTACGCTTGAATTTCTTTGAGCAAAGGTCACAATGGAATTTGGGTTCCACACCGCATTCATAGTCGATATGTCTGATCAGATGGGTTTTTCTTTTGTAAGATGACGAGCATTTTTGGCACGAGAATCTCCCTTCACTGTCTTTGCCGACATTTTTGTATCTGAAAGCTATAAATAAATACGTGTCAGTCATCGACCAGTCACAAGTTGACACGAAACATCAGAATGTGAGGTATCGAAATAGGGAGTGATCAAATATTCGATGTGAATAATCCAATGTGGTATTGTTGGGATCAAACTGAGACTCTTTCATCATACAGTGTGAACCACTTCTAATGGACACACCCCTGTATCTCACGTAATCGTTGGGTAAGGAACCTGAAATTTGCTGGAGCGAGAGATATACCAAAAATGCAAATGACCAAGCGGGGTCATCATCTTCAGTAATATACACTGTTCGCCAACAGCCATGGAACCATCCCAATTTTCGGAAAATGATATTAGGAATCAAGATAGGTTGAAAATCACTTTGGATTTGGCAAATTTCAGGATCCTCACCCAACGATTACGTAAGATACACTGTATAAACATGTGTCCTAAAATGCACCCCTTCTGAGGTCCAGCCATTGTAAGTTGGGTATGAATAAAAGATTATATGAAATTGTATTTGTATCAATTTTCTATTTATTTTATAGTGTCAATACATTGTAAAATGTTTACACTAGTCAATATGAAAAAAATCACTTGTTAATGAACAAAATATAAATATCACATTTCAGAATTGAAAATTGACTGTGAGTTCTTGAATAGTGTAGGAACATATCCTGATTTGATATTGTTTTAATTTGCTTTTGAAGGGCATTGAAGATGTTTTCTCCACATTATCAGGTGCCCTGTTGAAGAAACTCGGTCCTTAGAAATTAAATCCTTGTAGACATTCCTGAAGTCTATTTGTAGCAATTACAATCTTATTATTATTTCTCGTATTGTGAGTATGGATATCAGAGTTATGTTTGTATTCAGTCAAGTGTTATTTCACTTAAACCAGGCATAAATAGGTCTTTACAATGTGACTTCGGACTAGAGTCTGATATAATTCTAACTGCTTGTTTTTGTTGCCTGAAACGGTTCAGAATTCCATACTGCAAGTTAATATTTACGAAAGCAAAGTATGCCATTCGCATCATATCATGTGATCTTCTCAATCGCCTCAACAAAACTAATCATCACAACGAATAAAATAGCCTGAACATTGGCATGCTCCAATTTTTCTGGGCTTTCTTCTTCTTTTTTGCTTCAAAAATTATGTAAACTCAGTTATGGGGAAGTTGAAGGGAAATTGTAGCTCGGTGGAGGTGCATTTTAGTACATACATTTATATGAATGAACAAAGGTCTAATCTTGAAGCCAACGATATGTTCTTAAGATATATATACATCGAATTTTAAATCACTCTGTATAATCTAGAGGAATATATTTCATCAAAATGGTTCCTTGTAGGAAACGTAATTGACAGGAACTGTATTCTGTAGATACTTTGTGAAAATTCATAATAATTGAACGTAAGTCGTAAAAATGTACTATAGGTTCATCAGAACGGTATTCCATTCTTATTCTGTCGAGAAGGAATTCTATCGAAATCGTATGATATTGAAATGGTTATCCTACAATACCTCATTGCAAAGGCACAGTGAATCATCAGAATTTCATCTCGTCAAATCTTCATTGTATAGGAACGTTTTTCACTGAGTCAGTGATTCATCGGAATCGCAATTCGTCGTTAGAGTTAAACATCATCATCATCAAAAAAAGGTTCTCAGAGGTTGATGTTGCGACAAAATACGATAATGGTTTTTCATTGTCTCGACAGAATACAGTTTCGACAAAATATTATTTCGACAAATAACGGTTCTGCTAATTCAAAATCATATTGATTCACGGTGATGATAGATTGACGTTATCACCTAATACGATTCTGAAAGATTACTGTCGCGACAAAATACGGTTCTGATGAATTGTCTTATCTATACAATACGGTTGTGTTGAATTACCATTCCATCTGATGAAATGTCATTGTGATGAAATCTCGCACTGAATAAAAAACAATTTGAGTGACTGCATATGTGGTTGTAGGTGAATTTACTGATTGATAGTTTTGAGTGAATTCTCAATTCAGATTAGATATTTCATTAAGTGTTCCTATCAATGAGAATGTTCACAACAAATTTCTTAAATCGGCTCATGAATTATCATTTCACACAGTCGAGTAGGGTGATATTCCAACTCAATCGGGCGTGGACCGAGATTGACACATTATTGCGTGGACCTGGAGTGGAATTTCACTCATTTTTTTCACAGTGCGGATGAAATACGGTTATGATAGATTATCATTCCTACGGTATGATGTTTTACGTGCCTATAAAGTACATCCTTCATTTCACTACTTGATGGAATACATGATGATGTTTCACATTCCGATGAATTACTGCCTGGTTGAATTACGGTTCCGTTGAAATATCATTTTGAACGAATATATTCTGATACAATACGCACACATGCAGCTCGTTTACAATCGTATATTATAAAACTAGTGTGGAGAATGACATAATACGCATTCGTAGATATAAACAAGACATGGAATACACTATTTTTCTCACGACCAAGAATAGTAACAACTGGATGATAAGACATAAAACACTCTTACATTTGTTGACAAAAACATTGTCATTTTTTATATTTTTGATGCAATTTTCTTCATGAAGTATGAACGTTTAATGTGTATACCAACTCTATTGAATTTTGGGATTAGGAGATTTTGATCCCCACTATGACTTAATAAAAATTCACCTGCCCAATAATTCGAAATTCAAATCGATATAGTGTAGCAAGAAATGATACCACCAATATTTGCCCTCCACAGTGCTCGCAGAACTGTTCTGGTTTTATACTTTTCAAGGAAACATGTAATGATTCATCATGAAAAAAACAAAAATTGTGTACTCCAGATTTTACATTATATTATTATATAATTTTCGAAAGAGTCAGTCACGTGGTGCGATACTTCTAATACAATGTTTAAGGGTCACTCTCATTACGGATTTGAGAGCGATCATCAAAAACTTAATACATGTTACTAATATGGCCACAGATCACTCAACTTCCAGATGCGAATGCTAGGCCTCACAGTTCAATTATTGAACCTAATCAGATACTAATATGTGTAGCCAAATTACATTTCATTATAAACATGTCACACAAATACTTTCACCATTCAACTAGGAAAAAGCCATACTCAAAGTGGAATGCAATGGTCACAAATAGAGAAACTCAAAGTCATTACCACAATAGTTCATTAAAAGAACGAAAATGGTAGATAACGAGAAAAAAACAACTATACTCACCTGGCTTTATTCCACGCAGAACATTGTATTGCATCCTTCCGCAATGATTCGTATTGACGTATGAAATCGCAAGTGTTTCCTTCCTAAACGCCAAGCTGCGCTTAAGTGGTTCAGGAACGTGTGACTACCTGCAGATCAGTTTCGAGCTGGTGACTCTCATCAGTGCAGGGCTGTCCCAGATAGCTTCTTGACCGCTATCTGGTGCAAGTCAGACCCAACAGCCACGCATCTCAGCATTTATACCGCACGAGACGTTCAACGTCCGCGAAATGAACGCGAACGCCGAACGCCACCTGGCAAGGAAAGAGACACTCCAAAACAATCTCCCATTTCAGGTGAAATGGGAGTGGCTGGTTGCCAGTCGAGCGATTTTATTCGTCCAGCATACGAATTATTGCATAGATTTCGAGAGGATGTAATACAATGTTCTGCGTGGCATATAGCCAGGAAAGTAGTTGTTTTTCTCTGGTTATCTACCATTTTAGTTCATTTTATGAACGATTGTGGTAATGACTTTGAGTTTCTCTCATTGTGACTTCTACCATTTCTGAAATTTTAGTGCTAGCATGTTTTTTAGTGTAAGTCGAAGAGATGTGAGAAATCAACGAAACTGTTTTCTTTGTGTATACGATGGTGTTGTTCAAGGTACATAACGGCTTTTTTGCCATCGAGCATCAGAGGCAGCATTGAAACTTTCAAATCTGGTAGTTAAGTGAACTGTGCTATGGCTTAGGATAATAACCGATATCTTCATATTCTAGGAATAATTTGTGTTTTGCTAGGCTGTGTTTTCGAACGTTATACCTCCTCTTTGCAATATATGAACAATGGTTGCATGCATATAAGGATGTAGTTACTGAGCAATCTCTAGATCTATGGGATTGGAGACTATTTCTATTCTTGAACCGTTTTCCACAGGTAGAACATTCAACTGAAATCAAACAATGGATTAGGTAAGTATAATTGAACGTTTTAAGCACTGCATAACCAAAATGGTATATTATTCAACGAGCGCATAATGATGGGTATTGCCCACGAAGATGATAGTTGCAGTACGAGCCAAAGGCGAGTGCTGTAATCATCTGAGTAGATAATAGTCATCATGTGCGAGTAGAATACTATACTTCATCTACAACTATTCAAATATCAAAGCAACTCTGAGAGTTCAGGAATATATCTTTGGAAATAATGAAGGATATTATATTGCAGAATCACTGAATCTGATTTGAAATACTCATTAACTTCATCGAAAACTTATTGACAGAAATTTCAATCAACGAACAGCTTAAATAACTTATTTCAATAATTTTGATTATCGAAATATGATGAACAATGTTGGATATAACTTTTATCAACAGGAAAAAAGTAGTGCAATCACATATCAGTCAATCTTAATTACCAGGTCATTTCAGTTGTAAAATGAATCATACTATTGCAGATTATTCCGCTGTAGGATACCCCCTCCGCGATGATTAATTGTAGCACCCTGTCTCTAGACACTAGTTATCAACAATGAACTTCCATGGTTCTGATTGGTCTGTACTAATCTATTCGAATAGCCCGCACATAAGTGTGAGCAAATCTGCAACTGTCAAAAGTGTCAAGTCCTATTTTATGGTTATAGTTACTCATGATGGTAGTCACTGTTGTTCTATTTGTAGAATTATAGGTTGATTAGTACAGTAGGAGTACATTGAACAGTAGGATATATATAGGAATACCTACATAGTTGAATTTGACAAGACGATGGGATGTCAGATTATTACGCCATCCTACTGTTATTATTACTCTTATTACTCGATTCATCACAATAATGTCGGTCATTAAATGTTGACAATCGAGCTAGCAATGTATGAATGACTCCATAGTTGTAGATAAAAGTAATTAACTGTCACTCAGACAACAAAACAAAACTTGTCACATTCCAGTGATAGTATAGGTGTCAAAAACATCTGATGTTGGCTATCATTCACGGTGATACAAACTGAAAAATAAGTCAAAGGTGCATGCTGGAATCGTCGGAGTGGGTTACAGGCATTATGCGAGAGAAAAATACTACACTTCATCTAGAACTATTCAAATAGCAAGGAAAATTTCAAGTTCAAAAATAAATCTTTGAAAACATAAAGGTTGCTTCATGTTGCAACATATTGCTGAATTTATTCAATCCAATCATAGTGTCAATGAAAATGCCAGCTTTTTGTTTCCAATGAACGAATTATTATTACCAACTCAAAAATACAGAATATGAATCAGAAATGAATTCAGGTAAGTACAAAGAATTATAAAAAATACAAAATGGGAAATGCAATAAAAGAGGCTTGACGCAATTTGTAGATTTCACCTGGAACAGAAATATAGGATTAAAAAAATATATATATAGCAGTATTTTTATGTTCTTTTCCTATTTAACATTAGTACTGCAGCTCACCTGATTACAGCAGCTTTCTTTGATCTTTTATTGATTCGATCTTTAGCATGACGCATCCAATTTCTCATGCAGCATTCGATACTGGCTTCTGTTACTGATTTCTGCAGTATCTTATTCCTTTTGATGCCATCTGAATATTTATCGAATCAGTTTATATGTTGAAATCATGAAATTCAATTACCTTTCATTCCTTGAGCCATTATCAGAACTCCAAAATTTTGTTTCCCTTTCTGACCTAGCCAACTGTAATTTTGGATTAAATCATCACTAATGACTCTTTCCATTGCTCTTCTCACAGCCTCAGGTAAAGTTGAACCACCGAGTCTGGAGACATACTGGATCTATAATAACAAATATACGTGAGCAATATGGAGTTCAAACGTCAATAATGAAATCTTACAAATTTGTTGTGATTTTTATCTTCAGATAGAAATAGTTCGAAACTATTGAGCTCCTCATCATTATTAATTGGGAAATGATGCTCTATTTCTTTATCTTCCAGTACCAATGTATCATCCGTTGACATTTTATCAAGTAGTTTTGTCACATCTGTTGATATCAAGTCCATTTTGCGATTCAACAAAACTAATTGTCGATGTATTCGGTTACCTGAAACAATTTTCTCCATCAAGACATATATAGATATGTTGATATCAAGTTCAATCAATCAAATTGGGTTTCTATGAAAAATCACCATAGTAATGTACTTGTATTCTATACGTATTAATAAACAATACGGATCATAACGGGTGCCAGGATGAAGCCAAAAATATTGTCGCAACTCAGATGGTTTTGGTAGCTTATTTGGCAAACGGCGTGTCCACCACATGTCGCAATTCAGATGTTGCCCTCCTATGGATCACAACTTGGCTACTCGCTTGGCTTGATGAGAGGATTTTGATCATTTCACCATCCAACCCTATTCACCCCCAAATAAAGAGACCGGACAGTTTTCATAGAAAAGTAACATTTATTAATTGAATAAAAAGTTTTATGAATTGATGCTGCCACATGGCAGGTTAACAAAAAGGAAAGGAAAGATCAACGCAAAACAACATTGGGAAAAAAACAGTACTTACATTATGACATCTAACATGGGTTGACCAGCAGGATCAAAGTCGGGAGGACGGTACACATTTTGGCAGTAACTCGTGAATTAGTAACTCAATTACGGAATAAAGTAAAGTGTTATCGAAATGCATTTTACTTAGTAATAATCAAATAGTAATGTAATCAGGAATGAGTGGTCAATAATAATCAAAAAATCAGTAATTGAATAGTAATAATGAAAAGTCAGTAATGAATGGCTTATCGATTCGGAATCTATTTATATTTGGAATCGATGCTAGGTTCGCTATTTTCCACACGGGGAACGGTCGTTAGCTTTCGATACCGCTTACCTAGGTATTATCGCCGCGGTAAGCGATTTCTTTTCAAATTATAAAGGAAATGATGTCTATGAACTCCGCTGGCCTGATCGAACTGCAATGTACTGAATGTTTTAATTTGGAAAAGTTAATTTATGAATGAAGATCTAGAAATGAACGAAAGTTATTTCATAGACATTTGTACTTCTTGACACATCTCCCCTGTTTGACGAAGCTGGCCCCACAGCTTCAAGTGTCTATAACTACCTATATACATGATACAAAACAATAATCAAATCAAATAATGAGTCAATCAAATGAATTACCTAAGTAATCGAATGAAATGAAAAACATAAAATTGTGTAAAAATCATACCTACATCAATGATAAATAGAAACATTTCAAAAAAAATTCGTTAGTTAAAAAAGGAAATGTACAATTGAAAAGAACTTGTGATGACTGTCCATTAGTCTATTTTCTTCGCGTATGTGAGAGTTTTAAAGAGGACCACACTGAAAATCACTTGGTCCGGCACTACACTTTAATTGTTCGTTGACACTGAACTCTGTCCTTCCAGTCATCTGAGGTTGCGTTTCCATTTTCCATATGTTCGTAATGTAGGTCAGCGATGTTTTGTTTTACTCGTAACTTGATACATCCATAACATTGAGATCATAACATGGTAGGTTTGATGCACGTGAGATCTGTGAGAAGGTCTGACGGCGTCCAATCTCGCCTGGGAGGTAACACTAGCTCTCTGATGAGACGTTTTCTATGGCAGTGTACGGTTCAGCATATAGACTGCAATTGCTGCGTTCTCTGGATGCTGCGCTCTATCGTCTCTGGAGAAAAATCGAGAAGAGATTTAGGAGAGTATCTCTGTCTCTTTATATGCAGATAACGGAAATTGCTGAATAAGTAGTTTGTCGTCCATTGCTACTAGTGCTTCGTTTTCGCAATGATTTCGGTAGTTCGGTACTATCTACACTTATAATCGGCGTGATTTTCGTATAGTGAGTGGTAGTGCGAACTTAATTGCTTGGGAATATAGACATTACTTTGGTTACTGTATTGACTTCCTGTAGTCGGGGCTCTGGTAAGTTTTGTCTATTGTGCATTTTTTCATCATAACCTCTTGAAAATTTCATCTAGGTTTCGTGGATTTTGGCAGCTTTCTGGGGATCAATAGCGTCGAGGAGAGCATATATCGTCGTGCGAATTGGGCAGCTACTCACGGGAACAGCGGTTGTAGCATTTCGAGACACATCAGGGATACAAAGTAAGTTTCGCTTGGAGCATGCATATCGCGTCCTATATTGCGATATGACCACTCAGCGTATTCTTTCCATGACAACTGCATTTTCCATTTTTCCAGTGCTTTCTACCGTACGAATTACATCTACCCAATAACTCCAGGTACGATGAAACTTCTCATGGACCAACACCCTTGACGTAGTATATAGACCTGTGACTGTTGGCGGTTCGTGTCGATTCCTGGGCTGCATGTTTGTAGTGCCGTCGAGTGTGGTTCTCCGTTTCACATGTAACAAGAGAGAAAAAATATCGGCAGTAAGTTCATACAAGAAGTACATGTAAAACATCCTAACTAATTATAAAATAATTGAATACAATTGACGTAAATTTATCGATTAGCGTTCTCTAAAAACAAAACTACCTAAGTTAGTTCATGAAAAAAATTAATGTCTCCTGATCTTCTTGTTGCTCATCAAAAAGATAGGTCTCCCTACAAGAAAATCAAGATGTACCTATACTGCTAACACTTATCCAAGGATCTCTTTTCTACTATAGGTATATGGAATTGTTTGTTTCATCTCAAATTTCTTCTTGAATTGTATAGGAAAGAGATTCTTCCTTGATTTGGAATAGGAATGACACACCCGTATCCTTGATTTTCATTTCAATGTTTCATTTATTCAATTAATTTTCATTCCTATGTTATCTCAATGTTACTAATTTTTTTGTTTTCTAATAATATAAATGGTTTGTCACCGAAAAAAAAACAAATCTTCCTGTATGATATTCATCATAAAACAACTACACTCCTGGCTAATACCTACGACGAGCATTGAATTACATAATATGATGAATATCTAGGTATTTTGTGGAAACCTCATCTCGTACAAACTGAATATCATTAACCTTGTATCTGCCATTATTTCCTCTAATCTGACAATTTGCTTTGTCCCTATTTCTCTTCATATCGCGAGAAAAACATATTATTTCATACATCTATCGTCTCACTTTGAAACGAATACATCAATTTGCACTTTCGAGTGCGTTCACGTCATTATATCTCTCTCTCTTCACGCATCACATTTACTACGTGACAATAACAAAATAACATCTTTATACTTATTCATAGGTACACCATGGCTGACAGATGATTTGCAACTATTGTTGTTATTCATCTTCGAGGCGTCCCTCTTATCTTGCATTATCATCTGTCATAAGCGTATCATATTTCAACATAATTCTCCACAATAAATCTTACTTCATCAGATACAACTTTCTAGTAATTCGCATATTCAGTACTTTTTCCGAGATTCTATTTCCAAGTACATATAAGTATTGAACCACTTACATAAAAAATTGAGGTCTTGTCTTGGACATAACAATACATATACATAAAACAAACTATATTGACAAAAAGTATAGGTACGCATACAGGAATAGTTAGGTGGTAGTGTGGGTGTGTCATGTCCATATTCGCAATATGTTCAATATTTGGAGAGAGACAAAATTCTCCATTATTTTTTACACTTGTATATGTTTTATCTCCAAATTTAATTATGACTACTAGTTGTCATTCAATAGGACTTTGTATTGCTGAGTGCAATATAATCTTCAGTTATATACAGTAGATATATTTTTTAATTATTCAGTAACTAGTTGATTGTTAATTTTTCATTTCTTAAAATTGCGTCGCTCTCGAATCAAAATCTCCATACTCATGCAAAGTGCATGACATGCTTTGTCAATGATTGAAATAATTTTCATTGTTATTTATGAATTTATTGATTCTAAATGTACATACACCTCCTACTAGTTACGTTATTTTCATATAAGTTGACTACTCGATTCTGATTTGGCTATAGTTAGGCACCTCTTGGAAAATATTATTAGTATTATCAAACAATAAAAATCTCTCAGTTTTATTTTGAAATAATTGGTACTCTTATTCATTTTTTCTCCAACAGATAAGTATACTGGATGTGTAAAAGAAAAAAAATGTTAATTTTGAAGAATTGAACTCAATACAGAAATTGTGTTAATCCGAGTTCAGTTGGTTTTAGCATTCCGAACTGAAATACACCAACAGAAATGCCTTATACGGAAAAAATTCCATATAGAAGCAATTCGGTTTTGGCATTCCGAATTGTGAGCAAATTCTAGCTAGTGCCTCGCGAAAAATACTCCTTCTGTGAATTTTGTTCATGGCTTATATTATTATTTCACAGGTTATTCAGATGTTAATTATCACAAAAGTCATTATCATAATGCGGTTCTTCATTATACAAATTGAAATTTCCTAAATCTTGTTTTCTTTCACAAAATAACTTGCACATTTTTGTTTGATTCAGTTTTTCAATGATTCCTATTCATTCATTCTTCATGTCATCATTCTTTTGATATTTCATACCTCATTCAATCCTATATTCAATTATATATCATCCATAGGCGATTCGAAAAATAGGCCTTTCAGCGCTGAACTTAGTATAATTATTATTCTTAATTTTCTACTTTTCGAACCCTCTATTTTTCCTCAAACTACCTGAACCATTCATCACATGCACAAAACATCTGATCATTCACACTGAATTATCAACTTCGGTTTTTATTTTTCATTTGATATATGTATAAAGAACTTTTATAAAACTTTCTGCTCTTGAAAATGTTTTGTTCGTTATAGAATCATGAAAAAAACTTCATATCAACAATACTACCAAAATACGTACACCAGAAAAAAATCTTTACTTATCACTGTTCAATAAAAAACAACATGCTCATTACTTTTTCATCTGTCTGTATTCCTCATATATCAACTTTTCCCAAATATCTCATAGGACCTGATTTCATCAGATCATTCCTATACAAAAACCTCAATGCTTCAATACATGAATCACATTCATCTCATAAACATATATATCACCTCATAACATATCATCTCATCTCATATCAT